GATCTCCCTGGCCTTAAAGGCGGTCCACCTCGTTCCATTAGAATAGAAGAACAAAAATTACGACCAACCAAAAAAACTGAGTTCAGATGCCATCCTTTATAGAAAAGGACAAAATGGCACATATTGATGCGGCAAATATATGAACCAACAAAATACAAAAGATAAGTGAGAAGCATAGCACACACAGAAGAACTGAGTTCAGAATATAAGAACAAAAATTACAACCAACCAAAAAAACTGAGTTCAGATGCCATCCTTTATTAAAAAAAAAAAAAGGAACGAAAAGGCACATATTTATGTGACAAATATATGAACCAACAAAATACAAGAGATAGTGACAAGCATGGCACATATAGAGGGGGGAAAAAGGTTTCATCTCTCATAGAGAAATCCTATTATCCTGGCACATAAGAAGGCATAAAGAAACTCTGTTTGAAGAAAGGACACTGTACATCACTTCTGTTGTCCAGACAAATCCCAACGGACGTTGTTCTGATTAAAGAACGATTAATAAATTAATTCAAATATGCTACAATAGTGAATCGCACTACAGACAATAGGTACTTGTTTTAGAAAAGCGGCAAGAAGAAAATCTTAAAACAACAATAAGTTGAAGAAAAGAACTTTACAGAGAACTGATTTGCCATGATAGGTGAAGCATCACATTTGCCAGGAAGTATCTGCCATTGCCTGAACTCACCTCTGAATCCCCTGGATATGCTGCCACTTCTGTGGCAGAAATAGAATTTGACCTCTATGAGGTATGTAAAATTACAGTGAGAAAAAAAAATTAAAGCATCAAATCTTTCTGTTACATACCCCATCCCTCCAAGTGGAACCCCTTGAGATGCTGATGGTTTGCAACTCTCCCGAGTGAAAGGATCAATTGGTGCTTTCTACACAATCAGGATTCAAACTGATCATAAATTGAGAAAATTTATTCATTCTGCCATTGCATCCATAAAAAATTATTCAAGAACCTCCATATAGACAAGATTGAAAGGGTTACCCGTCCATGGGAGGCTTCTTCCCTAATATAGGACCATAAACGTATACCTAAGCGTACCTATACCCAGAACACTGGTAAAAGTCAGAAGACAAGAATAAGAGAAAGAGATAGCTCACATTAAGAACTACATGCATAAGCATATAAACAAAAATTAAATCAGGGATTCAGGATGTCTGTGGCTTATGTATAACCAAAACCAGAACAGGAACATAAAGAATATACAAATTACCATCTTGATTGCTTCCATAAACGTCACACTAAATTCTTTAAGAATATTAGCATGGCTGTTTAATCTCCTTCTCCAAGCTTGTTCTGGTGGAGCTGCACTGTCAAAATCAAACTACAAAGTAGTATTGAGAAAAGAAAATTAGTTTTAATTTTATAAAAGTTACCAACAGTATGGCAAAGACAATATTGCTAATTAGAAACAATATACTTTATTGAGGTGCAAGACCCTGAAGTAGGATGAATACCCTACACATCCAATATTTCATTGTAACTAGTGGATGCTGGATGCACATGTACACGCCTCCTCTTTTTCTTGTTTTTTCCCATTTTAGTGGCCAAGTCACAGAATAAACTGGGGATTGAACACAGAACCAGCCACTCATCCAAGCCTGAGTGGGAAGGATATCCCCACCGAGCCACAGCTCATAGGTAAAGGCTCTCCTCTCTGAAGCAACAAAACTTTGCCTCCGAGCATAAAAATGCTCTATCAAAAAATAAAAATTCTTCTTTTCCATGACCAAACAATTAGGTCAACAAGTGAAGAGGCGTGGGTATATCAGATAGGGCCCATGTATACCTCAGGAGGAGTACTCTGATCATCACAGGCCACTTGGAAACATTATCTACCTCCCCAAACCTTCCCACAGTAAACTTTCTGAATGTAAGGCAAACCCCAAAGGAGATAGCACACTTGTATAAGACTAATGTTTACAATTGAGTGACATCACAGCAGGGAAATTTTCAGTTCAATTCAAAAAAATTCAGGAAGAAATATAATATCCTAATGAAATGTACTAGGAAGCAGTAATAATTGACAAAATCTGCTTTCCACCTGTGGAACGTAATCTCAGCAAACATAAATGACAGCTAGGTGTCTTTATCCTTTTCTATAAAGAAAACAATCAAATTTGATCTAATATTCCAAATCCTTTTCTATATATCTCAAATTTCAACATATGAACTACTCCGTTACAGTGGGATCGTGTTTGATTGACATTAGCGTCAATCTGCAGAACCCAAAAGATGGGGGGGGGAGTTATGTTCACACTTTGTCACGACAAACAGAATATGAAGTCAAATACTCCCATCAATATGATAATCAAGTATAGACAAATAAAAGAAACTAAAATTGAAAGAGTAAAAAGAAAACGTTTGAGAAGAAGAGAAAGCTTACCAGCTGCAAAGTAGTTCTGCTGATATAGTCTTCAATTGGCCATGAATGCTTTCTACAGTGAAACAAATTTCCACTCACCATGTCGACTAATTCCCTTAATTATCCTCTCTAACCAGCAGGCAAACAAACCAAAAAGAAGAAATCTCGCAGAAATCTGATCAGTGAACTCCGAAAATTTCCGTTAGCTCCAAACAATAGAAACAGGAACGACCAAAAAGGGAACCGAAGGCGAAACAGAACACCGAAAACAAACTACTTGTTCAGTGATCTAAAGAATTCAGAATAATCTCCAGGCTAGTATCCGTATAACTCTCAATAATTCCTCCTGAAATGCAGGAAGAAAAAACGCGATGATCAAACTAAATCTAGAAGGTGGAGAGATAAATTACGAGACAACCGAAACCAAAGCGAGTCAGATCGAGTTTACAGGGAGTTGGACCCTTGATCAGCAATAAGAGAGAATGATTTTTCTTCGATCAGAGTTCAGATTAAAGAAAATGAAAAATACAAACGTGTTAGCAGCCTCGTGGCAAGCATAGAATGAGCCGCCTGTGCCCTTTCCCTCCACTGCTGCCTCCAGTGCGCTCCCCGTAATCGACAGGTGGTGTTTGCTTTGAATGTTGCTGTGGGTTCTCTCTCTCTTTTTCTTTTTACAAAATTACAAAAAAAAACCTCTTTCTTGCGTGGAAAGGCGTAGAGTATACTGTATAAATAGTAGCTTGTCGGTTTTTTTTTATTATTGTTCTATATTTTTTACTATTTAATTTATTAATATAAAATTTTAATTAAAAATATATTTTCTATTGAATTTTTACAAAGAGGAGCTCATAATACCTAAGATTCAAAATAAAGTTCTGAAAAAATATGTATTATTTAAATATTTTTCAGTTTGGTAGACAAAAGAATTTCCAGTTATATGTATTTCACCTTCCACTCAAAGGAATTATATGTATGTCACGCTTTTTTCCTTTTTTGCAATGCAAATATTAGAGATATATAACAAACGAAGTCTGTTTATAATTTTAGTGAATTTTAAATTTTACCATTATTGATTTATTTGGAAATATCCATCATTTTAATTTTGTATGATTTTTTATAAATAAAATATAAAATTTCTATTAAATCTTACAAACAAATTTATCGTATTTACAAAATATATTTTAATACGAGAGAAATTGAGCTTTTAATAACATTTGAAAAAATAATTTAATATTCAACGAACATTTTTTATTATCTAATAAAATAATTTTAATTAATTAATTATTATCATTTTTTTAATTATTTTTAAAAATATTCAAATATAAATTTAAATAATTTCAGTTTTTTTTAATAAATAAAAAAATTGTGTTTGAAACAAATGAAAGATGCTATTCACCAGATTTTAATTAACAAAATATTTTAAATTAAATTTCAACCACTGTCAAATTTTCAAAACAAATTTACTAATTTATTTTTATTTTTTAATAAAATAAAAATATAAATTGTGCATTTTTAATAAAATAAAATAAGGAATATCTCTGAAACAAAAAACAAAAAACAAAACAACAAAAAAAAAAAAGAGGTTCCTCTGAACCAATTTGTTATCTGATGGTTGAGTTAGATGCGGACAAATTACGGCATGTGATGTCTCATAATCCCATTACAACAAGAGAACTTGATTCTTCTCTATGACTCGTTAAGAAATAATTTTTATTTAAATTCAATCTTAATTATGTTAAACGTTTGATTAATAAGTAATAAATTAATTTAAACGTGACAATATATATTCATATATATATATTTCCAACATTTCAAACCATTTGGGTTAATTTTAGACTATTGAAAATGGAATAAATCCATAATAATTGTTGCTTTAAGGGAATTTTGATTAGCACTTATTCTTTTACCAAATCAGACTACTTTTCTTATCATTTTCTTTAAAATAAAAAGTTATAAACACCAAATTCAATAATTGTATTAATTATTTCCATTATACACTTGTTTTTTCTATGTGCTTTACGTCTTCATTTATGTGTGTTATGTGTTTATTATTGGTAAAAAATTTAAATGTTATATATATGTATGCACATTTTTTTACTTATAATTATGACATACATTTGTTTTTACATGATTGTTATTTATTATACTATATGAATATTTTTATTTGATAAAAAATAAAATTTTAAAGATTATATAAATGTAAATATATATTTGATATAAATGTGCAATATTGATATATGTCGTTGTAACTATCTAATATATATTAATTATGACTTTTATAGTTTTAATATTTATGTGTGCTCACTTTACATATTATGTAAAAGCTCAAATTTCTTATTGTAGATTTCGAACGTACAACTCAGATATAGTGAAATAAACAATAATGAAATTTATAATTTAGCAGAAGTAATTAGAGTTTAGAGTTACATTCATTGCACAGTTTACTTAAAATATCCATTAAAAATATATGAATGCTTTGAAACTTTAATGGGAAAAGAATAAGAGAAAACAAATATAATTAACCTCTACTCGAAATTGACGAAGCGGAATAGACAATCTTTTAACTAATTTCGTGTTGTTCAGGATCCGTCATTATTTGAAATAATTAATAATAAATGGGTGAGCTACACTAACTCAGTAAAAATATCAACATCTTACAAATGATACGAAAAATCAAAGGATTGTAAAAAATATAAAACAATCAATGGAGCTTATTCATAACAAAACTCGAATATTAGTGCGTTTATTATTCGTTTAACTAAAAATGTTAATATTTTTTCAATTTACCTATAAATTCTTAAGTGTCATTTATTAAGGCAAGAATTGTAATCTACAATACGTATTCTGAAAAGTATAATAATTAATCTTACGCTATTTCTCAAAATCGGATTTCTTATCATATTCATCCCTATTATTTTACTGTTCATATCAGTATCGCTAAGGGTTCATATGGATCCTCACTACACGTGGACACAGACATTCTCTCTATAACCAAACGGTCGTCCTTATACCCCGTCCGGTAATGGGCGTCAAAATACATAACTGTCTCAATACCCTGTTCAGTATTAGCATAATTGAAACAATTTCAAACCCATTTCAGTATTAAAATTCTCAGTCTCGTACGACTGAAGGTAGCGTTCACGGTAGAGTTCACCATATGCACCAAGTTTGTACATTATTTTTCAAGATACTCGGTAAGCCCATTTTAATCAACATCACTAATTCACGCATATATTTTTTTTATTTATTATTTAACCTTAAAAGATATATATATATATATATATATATATCTTAAACAACATATGAGTACAAAATTCATATTTTCGAGTACGTACGTAAAATAAGTATGGATTATTCTGACAAAAACGTATTTGACACACAATAGAACAACAAGACAATGTAGATTAAGAAATTTTATCACATTAGTCATAGAATTAAAGTGAATAAATTAAAGTAAACAGAACAGTGAATAAATAAACATAATAAATAACTGAATAAATAATTACTGCAATTAAAACTTAAAACATATATAGACTGACCGGTTACTTACTCAATTGACAACCTGTATTTAATTAATTAAAAAACCTCAATTGACTAAATTTTTCATT